TGCATTCTTCTTTTTGCTGGTATGCTTTTGTCTAAAATTGTGGAAACCATGAAATTAAGAAACTGCCACATGTATGTTGTGTATAACAATGGGACAGAGATTCTCCCTCAGTTTTTCAGGTTTGGGTGTTTTGGGAAGGAAACACACAGACACACAGACACACACACACATACACACACACCTTTGCTAAAATGCTTATCAGAAACTTTAGCTCCCTATTGCTGCTTAAAAGTCTGGTTCAAAATACTTTTTGCCCTGAGTGCTTCTCTGGTCCTAGCTCTTAATTATAGTTATTTGGCAGTGTGAAATATTGATGGCATTGGTAAAAAAGATTGGCAGCTGCATGAATTGTTATTAACCAGCCTGTTGGTTGTAGCTTAAAGTTCAATAAATACCAAGATGCAGCACAAGCCCTTAGGGAGCTACCTTCTCTCCTCTAACTCTAGCCCTTCTATCTGCAATGAAGGAAAATTAACCATTTGATGACTTCATAAAGTCCAGGCTTGAGATCTTTCCTTGGTCCAAGCATAACCTCTTGGAACTAACACTCTGATAAAAATGCACAACCTGTTTTTGAACATAGCAATCCAAACACCCTTATATTCATCCAAGTGCAGAATCCAAATATACTCTCAGCAGTGGAAAAACATGCACTAATCCTGGTTTAGGGGAAAAAATATTACCTCCAATGTAAATGAATCTCCTGCTGCTCTCACAATACATTGTTATTGACTTATATAGCCAAAGAGGAGGAGGATGTACTCATTACAGCCCTTGGCATATCTATCAGTTGGGTGATGAATCCATTATGAACGTTAGACTGCTGTTGTTCAGGAGAAGCAGGAGGAGAAAAAAGAGTAGGATTCACTGCTCTGCCCTCCTCACCCTGACTGGGCCTGCCGTGTATCTTGGTATCTCTGACTGGAAAAAGACTCTTTTTAAAAGTTCTGGGGAATTACTGCCAGTTAGAGTAGATAATATTGAATCAGGTGGACAAACTTATCCCGTGCAATATAAGGCAGAAGACATCTTGCTCCCATCAAGGTTTGCTTTACTTCAATAGTAATCTAACAGGGTCATAAGAAAGTGGTGGATGGGATAGAAGCCATTGGTAGGTAGAGCAAGAATGAAAAATAGGCAGGACCAACAATTCTTCCTCTCTCTTTCTACTGCCATCTCCTGACTCCCCATTTCTGATGCAATTTCCCCCCACTCCCTCTCTCCATCCCTTTATCCTTGCTTGGTCTGCTGTTGGTAGAAGGGTAGATTGCTCTTCCTAGAAGTTAGAACTAATCACCAACAAATGACTTTTGAAATTATGCCCACATTTGGCCTAGGGTTGTCAGTTACCTACTCCTGTGATTGAGAAGAAGTGAAGCTGGCATCCTTACACAATAAACTGTTCAGACTGGGCTGCTATCTCACTAACACCCAACTGCCAAAAATGAATAGCATTGTAAACAGCATGATTCTTGGAACAAAAGACTAAAGTGGAAATACCTTCTGTACATAAAAAATAACTACATTCAGGTGCATCAAGTGCCTTTATAATACACCTGAAGCAGTACTATTTCCCATGCAGTGTATTCCATATTCAAATTATTTAGAATACTTTTTTGATTAAAGGAAAGAACACAATTATTTGTTTGAAAGAATGGATAAGCAACTTCTTTAAACAATGGCAACAACATTTTTCCCTTTGTTCTCCATGTCTGTGGTAAGTGAATCTACTGCATTTCAGTGCTGACATTTAATCAATGCATGTAAATCACCTCAGAGGCCTATTCTTCTTCTATTCATTAATCCAGTCATGCTGAATGCAGACACATAAGGTTGCATGTGAAGATTTTTGTAGCTGAGGTCAAAAAGAACCCCATGCAAGGAGCAAAGTTCTTAAGATCAATTATAGTGGCAGTGATGGTTGTTATTGTTTTCTAGCAAGCAACCTTCAGTGAAAAATAAACCCATCTGAATTGTATTTAGGCATGGGTCAGCTCTGTGGCTCCATGTCATAGTCCTCCATTGAGACTTGTCCAGGAAAATCCTTTTTTTAAAAAAAAAATGCAACTAAGCTCTATGGATATTCAAGTTCAATTTGTAATCAGATGACTCTGCTCTGCCTCATATATTTCGCCTCGCTACCAGGCCACATCCTTGAGACACTGTCCTGCCTTGGTATCATGTGGGTGGAGAGAAGAAAAAGGCACATGAGGAATGTTTACAGAAGGATAAGAAACTCTACCAGGCAGAGATGGATAACTTCTGAAATTAGACATTTTTGCCCTCTGTGGAACTATGGTGGATCACACACACATATCGACTCCACTTTCACCCCAGTTTCTGCTCTTTCCCCACCTCATGGCAATTATATATAATGTATATGCCACCTTTCTCCTAAATTGAACCCAAGGTGGCTCACAAAAGATACTTAAAAATAATTTAAACAGAATTTAAAACATCACATCAACAAAACAAGTTAAAAATATCATTAAAATATGCTTGTGTACAGAGTTTGACCAGCCCTATCAACATATAATAGGGATGGAGCAGGCTCCAGGCAATCAAATTCAAGTTAGAGATGGGATAAAGGGGTAGTTAGAATCAGTTAGTGGCAGTTGAAGTTGAGGGTAAAGTTGAAGTTAGAGTTGGGGTCTGACAGTGAGGGACTCAGGGAATAACAGAATTCTGAAAGAGGGTTGCTATTATAAAGTATCTAGAGAGGTACAAATAGCCTTAGTGGCTGCTGTAGAAATAGTAAAGAGCACCCAGAGAAGGACAGACAAGGTCCTGGGGTAGTGAAGAAGTCTATTGATCCCAAAGAGTGAAACTGGA